GTGTCTATCTGTCCGTCTGTCGAGTTCTCGGCTTTCTGGATCGATTTAAATAATTTTTAGTTTGTTAGGCTTAGAATTCTATGTAGTTGTGCATCTTGTATTTCATTTTTTTTAAAACAAAAGTCACGACACAACCGGGAGTCGAACCCGGATCGTGTGGGCGGTAGATAAGTGTGTTCCTGACTGTGCTATGGCGAGATAGAGGCCAAAAAATCCCGCTTTTAAGCTGATTAAAACATACAGTCTCAATCATCACCTTGACCACTTATCTACCGAGTTATTTCAAGCATGTGCAGCATATGGATTTAACAAATGTAAGTTAAAACAAAAAGTTTTTTTCATTTTGAAAGCTTTAGAACGGTTTTTGGTCAGCATTGCCATTTCTTTGTCAAACGGCGATGAAATTTGTGGTCGGAGGTTGTGCTGATGGGTTGAAACGGAGGTATCCAAAGAAAATTGACACGATTACAAAGTGTTCAAATTGTTTGGGTAAAGAGTCGAATATGTGTTTGGAAAAAGCTATATTTAAGCCACATTTGGTTGTGCGCTCTGTCTTGGAGTGGTTTCTCTATTACCATGTGGTCATTCGTTTCTCGCTGTGCTTCTCATCACTCTTGCGACGTCTTGCCTATCCGGTTATACTGGAGGTAGATCTGTTTAAGGGTCAAATAGAAATCAAAGGTGTTTCTGGCAAAATCAAAAGTTGTAGGCTATTTCACAGCACTGATTTCCGTGGCTCCATTACATACAGCGGCTGTGAATAGTGTTTCGAGGATTTTCGGTCAACTTGCCAGTGCCGGTACCCCATATTTTGTGGGATTTATCACAAAAACGGTGAGAGAGAGCTGTAAACAAAATTTTACAATCCATTTTTAGAATAGTGCATTTGAATGGTTGATTGTGTTTTTCACGATTGGAGCCATTTTGGTCGCTAGCGGGGTGATGTTTCTCATTTTTGGCACAGGTAACTAATATTTTTTTTTCTGTTTAATCGCCAATTTTTCAGTTACTCCTCAACCGTGGTCACTTCCGAAAGCTGAGAATAAAGAAAACGAAAAAAATGAGCTTTGAGTTTTGTTGTTTTTACTCACTTCGAGCATACAAGCGGGTTTTTGTTGAGTAAAAATTTAGAATCTAAAAGTGAGCGCATGGTTTGATCGTATTTTTCCAGTTTGAGTGCTGTTTAACAACAATGCTTTTGAGGAATGAAAGAATTTGTGGCAAAAATAGAAACAAACTCAGGCGAAAATCCCTCAAAAATATCGCGCCGAAAACGACAAAGTCGCTGAACACTCCTTCGCTGAACACTCCTTCGCTGAACACTCCTTCGCTGAACACTCCTTCGCTGAACACTCCTTCGCTGAACACTCCTTCGCTGAACACTCCTTCGCTGAACACCCTTCGCTAACACTCCTTCGCTGAACACCCTTCGCTGAACACTCCTTCGCGAACACCCTTCGCTGAACCCCTTCGCTGAACACTCCTTCGCTGAACACTCCTTCGCTGAACACTCCTTCGCTGAACACTCCTTCGCTGAACACTCCTTCGCTGAACACTCCTTCGCTGAACACTCCTTCGCTGAACACTCCTTCGCTGAACACTCCTTCGCTGAACACTCCTTCGCTGAACACTCCTTCGTTTTTACGGACTCATTTTCTTAGGGAAAAGGGAAGCTCTATATGCCAGACGGGTCTGCCAAATCGAGAGCTATTGTGCGCTTGCACAGAGAACACCTCGCCAGTCATTTATTCCCTTTTTGCTTTATAGATGTTACAAAAAGATATTCAGATGTAAATTTGTATCCGTTTGTTTTCAGAGTCAACGAATCGATTGAATTCTATTCATTTTATTAAGTCCATCAATTGAAACTTTCAGAATCACTACTCCACTTTTTATTACGTATAAACTAACGAATACCGGTATGTGAAGAATTGGGGGAAGAAAGAAGACGCAAATCTTGCTAGTCACAAGTAGAAATTGGTCAAGTAAGAAGAGGAAAAGCGCAAATCGCACCATCATTGAAGGAGAGTTTTTGTATGAGACTAAAGTTTCAAACACCAATCGAGCACCAAATGAATCCAAGAAAAAAATATGAAATTTATTATAAGAGAGCCGAATGCATATCACAATCCGGCATTGTAACTCCAAGGGAATCAGCGGTCACCTGGAAATTGATTTTTGAGTTGTTTTGTGTAATTTGAGTAATGATGATGATGGTTGTTTAAATCTTTTATGCACAGTACTGTACTTACCGTAAATACTGTAACCCCCCCTCGTACAGTCGCGTAGTCGCAAAAGTTTTTTAGTATTTCATTTTTTTTCAAAGCACCCTTACTTTCAAAAAATGCGTCTTTGGTATCAAAAAATAGCTGAAATTCAGGGCTATTTTTTGATAATTGTATTGCTATTGTAGGATAAACCAGTGTCGAGAAAAACTCGTTCAAAGCTAGACTACGCAACACTCCGCACCGTCATTATGCGGGTGGGGTACTATTACAGTATTTACGGTAGTATTTTACTCGACTAACCGTTGACACAAGTTTCCAAGCTTCGGGACCACAGTGGGCAAGAATAATCGGATGTGAGCATCTATAGAGATTGTTAATAATTTTAAAATAACAAATTTTACCTTAAATATCCATCCATTGCTCGACACATTTCAGAAAGATAAGCTTCAGTGGATTTGCTCTAACTTTTAAGCTATTTTTTTTTGACTCTTTACAGATTAACCTTGCTTTTTTGCGCTTCCGCGATCGCTTGAGTGGCCGCGATCTTGCAACTAATGTACTCCTTTTCCACTTCGACCTCAATACTTTTTGGTAGACTCTAATGAAAAATACAGTAATTATTCGCTGTCTCATTAGCTATTTAGTTGGTTGAGTAACCTGTGCAAAGCAAGCTGCATGTTGCTCAAATAGTGCTTGCCCACTTCCGCACATGTACCCATACGAAGCATCGACAGCATCCTCGGACAATGAATCACATTCCAGATCTTTCACACAACTCTGAAAAAATTTTCTTTCTAGCAAAAATTACTTGACTTTGAACTCTTTATATACCGTATTTTCTCTAATAGTAGTGCACCCCCGGCGAGTCGAGTTGATGACGATTTTACAGTTTCCAAGCCCCAGAAACAACACCAAACCCCACAAGACGACGTCAGCACACCGACCCACACGATAGGCTGATAAACGGTCTCCAGATTCGAGCGGCGGCGCGATGCATACTATTAGAAAAGTCAAAGTTTGTCTGTTTTTTGGGGGTCACGTATTTTCATAGTCGAGCCGAGTTAATGCCTATTTTACGGTTTCCAAGCTTTTGCAGAAGCTCAACACTCTAATCCCCCACAAGATCTCATCGTCAGCTACATTTTCCGACCCCACATCGATAGGCTCTGATAAACGGTTCTCGAGATTTCGAGGAATTTAGGCAAGGCTCAAGGTGCACTACTATTAGAGAGAATACGGTATTTATTTTATAGATTTACTTTAAACTCTTTATATATTGTGCATAGTTGGGCGAAAACGTGACGTCCTTGTACGGGCAATTGCATTCCGGTATCGCTTTGCAACTGTGCCGCAAATTTCAGCATCGGCTAAACAGAGTTGGTACTTTATGTGTGAATTTTGGTTTAAGTTTATATTTCGGGTTTTCCACCTAGAACCAGCCTGCTTTGCTTTGCACAATCATTAGCATATCGCTTAGAGTAACTTATGTACAATGCTTGAGTCTTCTTGAGTCTGGGATTCAAGCCTCAAAGATCCAAAAATTCAGATTTACTGCCTCTCACCTGTAAACAGACATTCACTTTCTGCTCACTAGCATAGTCACATTTTGGTGATTTATGTGTGGGGAGAGGTGTTGTGGACATAGCTGCACAAAATCCGAGAAGACATGACCATAATGAGGTCTTTTTGAGCTTCGTCCTCATTCCATACAAAATTACTTAAAATATAAGATTAGAAAAGTATAATTTCTGCAAAAGTAAACGTCAAGCAAAAAAGATGTCGTCAAGATGTGTTCTAAGATGGCGTAATGTTAAAAAAGAAGTTGTGGAGATGTCAAAAATGGACAATTGTCCCGTGTGCGGGCGGGCAGAAGAGGTACGGAAGTGAAGAAGAAAAGAAAGAAGAAGAAAAGAAAAAAAGAGGAAAAGAAAAGAAAAAGGTGACGGGACGTTATGAAGGGAGAGCGTAAAGGGGAGAACGGAATGACTAGGGGACTGGGGAGCTCTTCTCCTTCTCGTCCTTTACCTCCATCAACTTTCTCCCTATGTTCATCTCTATCAGTTTTTCCTTGCATTTTCTTCTTTTCCGCTTTGTTGAATCGGTTCTGAATTTTGAATTAACTTTTTGAGTGCTAGAGCACTTGAAGATGTGCCCCTCTTTTTCCGTCTGCCATTGACACGTCTCAATCTCATTTATTTTTCTCAAAAACCTATGCAAAAACACATTTTTTTAAATGCTTAATATGGAAATAGATAGGAATTTTAAAATCTAGAACTAAATAAGAAAGGAAATTGGTAATTTGAAGTCAATTAGGGGAAACTTATTCTCTAATAAGTACAAAGTATTTTCATTGAAAATGACGAGGTCATTTTCGAAGGTCGAAGAAAAGAAAAACATAAATAAAACAAAGGAGGTGTGCTGATTTGAAAGGGGCAAAAAGAATAAATGGGAAAATGGGGAGAATGATGGTGAGAATGATGATGAGAATGAGAAAAAAGGGAAAGAGATGAAGAGATGAAGGAGGTGAAGGAGAAAGCAGTGGAAAAGCAGAAGGCCTACTCTACTTCGCAAAAAGCACACCCTCATGAGTCTCACTCATGAATTCTTTTCATTAACTTCAAGAAAATGGCTAATAAAGAATTTGAAAGAAATCGAGTAAAGATACTCCACAAAACAAAACAAATTTACTATTCGTGTTGCAATCGAGGAAAAAAAAAGGCAATTTGTTTAGGAGATAAAGAGAGTCGGGGACTTGAAATGAAGTTGTGTTTGGGTGTTGGAATTGAGAAAGACCGAGAATGGGAATGGGGAAAGAGACTCATTCAAATTGAGGGACATTGATGGGGGATGGATAGGAGATTGAACAAAAGAGAAAAGATGGAAAGGGTATTCAGTCATCCCCACATCTAACTCATTCATTTACCCTCATCTAATAATGAATTTCAATTCGAGAAACTAGTGTGTTTTGAGGAAATTGATAGAGGAATTCGGCAATGAAAAGAATTTTGCGAGAAAATTAATTTGATGTAGCTTTCAATAGCTTTCAGCTTCAAAAACGACGGTTGATTGATTTTCATTTGGTTTTAAATAACTAAATCAAAAGACTAAACGTTTATTTTTTAAATTTTCCAAAATTCTCTTCAGCATTAAGATAAAAAAGAAAGAAATGATGAAAATTAAAGCTTTGAATGTATGGATGGGATCTCAAAGTTGTCGTCTCTAAGGGGCACCGCTTCACAATGGATCTTTTCTAAAGGGCACGCCTCTCCCCCCATAGCCACAAAGTTAACGCAATTTGCGCTCGCATGTCGTCAAGATTCACACTCCTTTCTCTTTCTCTCTCTTTCTCTCTCTTTCTCTCTCTTTCTCTCTCTTTCTCTCTCTTTCTCTCTCTTTCTCTCTAAATCCAAATATAGTCTTGGCCTTAAGAGATATATACAAAAAAAGTTCTTATGGGTATGTTGAAATAAAGCGCAAATTAAATACTTCAGCTTTAATTGATAATACTTTAAAAGATATTTAGCTGGATTGTATTATAGGAGAAGCTTTATAGTACATAATCCTTTATCAAGATATCATCAAAAAAAAAATTGAAAATTTTTCAGATATCTGATTGTAGAGTGAGGAAAAACATGGGAAGTCCGATGACTGGCTGTCTTTTTAAGGGTGAAAATGCGATTTGCATTGGACTCTCCTTTTTCTCTTTCACTTCTTTCCAACTTCTCCCGATAACTTCTTTACCTGATCTCTCTCTTCGAGAGCCCAACTCTTACCAATAAAGTTCAGCAGCTAGGAACTGAATTCAAATACATTTCAATAGAAATAACAATCGAATTTATCTACTGACAAATCAAATGTTGAATGCATAGTGTATTTTGGAAAAATTTAGAAATTGATTTGACTAGTTAAATCTAAATCCTTTCAATTTACTCAATTTTGGAGCCCGAAAAAAAAATCTCTGTTTGTGTAAATCTCTTTGCGGAACAAAAGAGCTCATTGGGAAGAACTCGCTCACATTTTTCCAAAATGGGAAAGAAAGACGAAAAAGAAATGATGCTTGCAATTTTGTTTTTTCTTCGCCGATGGCCTCGAAACCCATCGAGAGCCAAGACGAGGGTCCTCCTCTACTTTGTCATAAGGGTAATTCCCATCCATCTCAAACCTCTTCCTCAACTCTTCTTCTAAAAAGAAACATTGATTACTGAAGAAACTTCCGAATCCCTTTTCATTCTCATCCTTTAGACATGCATCTGCTTTCTTTTCACGTCCCTGCATTATTCCTAGACATTTTTCTAGTTCTTTTTCAACTATGACCTCAAAAAAGATACAGGTGTTGTGTAAATGATTAGTACTTTGAATTGCCGGCTTTCAGGATTGGACTAATAAGAATTTGTTTACTGGATCAGTCGATTCATGGAATGATGAATACAGTCATCCTTTTCCTAACACAGGGGAGCAATTTCGTTGTTGAGAAAGAAGCTTTGAAATCTAGCTCCAAGTCATGGCGGTCAACAAGAAGAACATGGTCTTACTGAAAGAAATGGGTTGGTTTTGAAGGAAAAAAAGAGTTGAAATGGAGAGGGGCTTAGCTCATTCAGATATGGGAGGACAGAGGGTGCAGAGCCTTCAGAGAAGATGGTCAATGATCAACAAGAAGTCGACCCGCGTGCAAGCGGTGAACCCATCACATCATTACAGGTTTCCAGTTCAAATTTTGGATGCCTCAGTAAGTTTTAGGTAGCTTGGAACGTGACGAATGAGTCCATTTGAGGGATTGCGGAAAGAATGCTCGAATCCGAAAATGATCGAAGTACTGGTGAGACGTCTGAATGTGATCGACTTTTGGGATGTAGCCATGATTTGAAGGATCATGATTTGAAGAATTTGAAGGATTCAAAGAATCGATGGATCTCATGGATGCTGAACAGTTGAATACAACATTGGAAATCTATCAAAAACGTTGCTATTCGGCTCAATTGACAACAGCATCAAATTCTCGAGATTTCTAAATTCAATTGGCAATTTTTGAAAACAGAAATGCCGAGCATATGATGAAAGTTTTAGAGTTTTATCATGGCTCTTTAGATGCTAAATTAGTTGTTGTTTATTTTTCTGATGAACAGTTTAAATAAATGAAAACGTTCTTTTTATTGCACTCCCTTTTTTTAATACAAAAAGCTGATTTTTATTTGTAAAGAAGTTTTTGTATTCAAAAGTTAATTTCGATTTTCCTTTTGACATAAATTTTGAAGTTTTATTATACGAGAACTGGGAAAAGTGAATCTCTTCTCTTTTCATAATTTGTTCTTCGATCTCCGATCATTTTTTGATGAATATGAACTCAAGATGTTGCCGAAAGTGTTTGCAAACAAAAAATTGAGCAACTGTAAACATCAAAACAAACCTGGTAAGGGAGAACAGAAAATAGTTGACCATTTTTTCACTGATAACCAGAAAATTTCAAACTAAAAGCAAAGTGTAAGGTTGGTAGCAATTCGTTGATCTGCTGAAGTAAATAAAATCGAAAAAATTGTTAAGTTTAATAAATAAATCATTTCACTTGACGAAGAAATAAACAGAAGGAAGATGAGTGATGATGTAGCAGAGGATCATGGTTAAAGCAGTGATCTGCTGAAGATGAGTGATGATGTAGCAGAGGATCATGGTTAAAGCAGTGATCTGCTGAAGATGAGTGATGATGTAGCAGAGGATCATGATTAAAACAGTGACTGTTCACATGTTCACATGTCGCTCAACTTGGGCGAAGCGTTGATTCGACGAAACATTGCTGAAATTTGAGGCATTGCTTGGCAAAAATGCAAGTTGCCAGTGCGCATTTTTCCAGTTGGCTTGCTGGTTTTTGTAAAATTTAGAACATTCATGCAAGCCAAAGCAATAGCCTAAAATGAATTTATGCAATTTTTGAAGTTTTTATACTTTTTTATCCACTTTAATAAAGAATTTCCGGAGAATTCTCTCGATTTTCGGGGAAAATTGGCAAATGTTTTAAATTGGCCCTTAAATGTTTTAGCTAAATCTATTTTCTGATCAATTCTTTTAGAGAGCATTACACCGAACCAAATGCAGCCGAACAATCATCTTGATCAGACTTGTAAGCGAAAAAAAAACAAAAAATTTAATAGCTTGACTTTCATAGTAAAACCCAACGAGTGGGACAGCTACACACTGCGATGGAAATAGCGGAAAAATTGTGGAAAAACGTATTTGTTTTGATGTTTTGCCCCATTTGTTGACTTCTTCTTTGAAAATTAAAAGATATTTCATTTTCCGCTTTTCTTCCGCCTGCAAGCCTGATCTCGATCGCTCACCGTCTCAATCAATCCGAGATTCGGATGTGATTTTAGTTTTTGACAAAGGAAATATCGTCGAAAAGGGTTTTCGATTTTCAAATCTTAAAGTATCCAATTTCAGGACCACATTTAAAACTCCTAGAACTCGATGGGGTTTACGCGGGATTGGCAAAAGTCCAAGAATTGAGTCAAGAGACGACAACGAGTGGTGCGATCAAATACAAAGTTGAAAGGGAAAAAGACTTTCAAGGTGAGTACAAATGCTATCTATTCTATTCATTGTATCTATTCATCTATTCAGCTGAAAGTATCAATCTAAAGGTTGGATAAAACCAATATTCATTGGATATATTGACTTACAAAGTTGATAGAACCAAGAACTAAAGTTTTTTTCTGTGAGTGGCTTTGTTGGGATTAGCTTTGAAATATGGATATATAAGTTTGTGCTTAGAAAAACACCCGAGTAAAACTATGATTTGAGTGTGTGACTATGGGCTTTTGTGTGGAAAGGGAATGGGAGGAGGGGAATGGAGTGGAAAAGAGAAAAAGATTGAAGTTGTTTTTCCTTGATTTCACTCAGAGTTTCCAAATCGAACCAAGCGATGATTCCAACATTTGAACAAATTTTGCAACTTCTGAAAGAAATGAGCAAAAGGAAGCATTCGAAAAAGAGATCAAAATGGAGATATCAAAAGATTGAAAGTAAAATGAGAAGAAACAAGAAGAAGTACTTCTCATTTCCAGCTCGCTTTTACAGCTTAATTTTACAGCTTTTAATTTAAACTTTAATTTAATTTAATTTAATTTAATTTAAATTAAACGTTTTAATATAATTTTTACATAAGAATTTTTGTCTCTTGTTTAGAAAATCACCCGAGTAAAACTATAATTTGATTGTGTGACTATGGGTTTTTGTGTGGAAACGGAATGGGAGGAGGGGAATGGAATGGAAAAGAGGAAAACGATTCACCAAGCACGGGACCACCCATCACGTTTTCGGCAATTTTCCCTGAAAATTGAGAGAATTTCTCAAGAAAATTCCTATTTGAACTAAGAATGAACTAAGCTTGCCAAAATTTCATTGTTTTTTAGAAAATCACCCAAATAAAACCGATAGGTTTTTGTGTGAAAAGGGAATGGGAGGAGGGGAATGGAATGGAAAAGAGAAAAACGATTCACCAAGCACGGGACCACCCACAACTTTTTAGACCACCCATCACCTTTCTTTTTGCGGATAAAAAGTATAAAAACTTCAAAGATTGCATAAAGTCCTTTTAGGCTTTTATCAAAGCTTGCACGAATGTTCGGAATTTTACAAAAACCAACAAGCCAGCTGAAAAAGCGACCACTGAAGGAGAGGATTTGATTGAAAAAAAAATGGGAATGAGTTTAAATTTTGATAAGTACAATGGTATACAAAAATGGTAAGGGATGAATAATCTTTTCAGTTTGATTTGGACACATTAGCTAACTATTAGGTTGGTGCATAAGTCTTTATAATTTTTTTTTTCCGAACGTTTTTGGAAAATAGGTTTAGGCTCCCGGCTTTGCGCCATTAAAAATCCACAAATACAACGACTTCCGAGGATTTCCCAAAAGCCATTTTGCTGAGAAGAAAATCCTATTTATTCTTAGTTCAAATAGGAATTTTCTTGAGAAATCTTCTCAATTTTCGGGGAAAATTGCCTAAAAGGTGGTGGGTGGTCCCGTGCTTGGTGAATCGTTTTTCTCTTTTCCATTCCATTCCCCTCCTCCCATTCCCTTTCCACACAAAAGCCCATAGTCACACACTCAAATCATAGTTTCATTCGGGTGCTTTTCTAAGCACAAACTTATATATCCATATTTCAAAACTAATCCCAACAAAGCCACTCACAGAAAAAAAACTTTAGTTCTTGGTTCTATCAACTTTGTAAGCCAATATATGCAATGAATATTGGTTTTATCCAATCTTGAATAGACATTTTCAGCATTTGTACTCACCTTGAAAGTCTTTTTCCCTTTCAACTTTGTTTTGATCACATCACTCGTTGTCGTCTCTTGACTCAATTGTTGGACTTTTCCTTTGTCAAAAACTAAAATCACATCTAAATCTCGGATTGATTGAGACGGTGAGCGATCGAGATCAGGCTTGCAGGCGGAAGAAAAGCGGAAAATGAAATATCTTTTAATTTTCAAAGAAAAAGTCAACAAATGGGGCAAAACATCAAAACAAATACGTTTTTCCGCAATTTTTCCGCTATTTCCATCGCAGTGTGTAGCTGTCCCACTCGTTGGGTTTTGCTATAAAGTCAAGCTATTAAATTTTTTGCTTTTTTTCCGCTTACAAACCTGATCAAGATGATTGTTCGGCTGCGTTTGGTTCGGTGTAATGCTCTCTAAAAGAATTGATCAGAAAATAGATTTAGCTAAAACATTTAAGGGCTATAGGATAAAGCTGTCACCTGAGCAGCGGCCTGACTGTTTGTGACAAGAGCTGAGGTGGCCTCATCTAATAGTAAAATTATCGGTTTTCCCAAAAGCGCTCTCGCAATTCCGATTCTTTGGTTTTTGCCCTCCTGAAAGTGCCACTCCTCCAAAGCCAACTATTGTATCGTAACCCTAAATGAGAATTTGTCAAATATCGTTCAATGTTACTATAAAGTGACATATTTCTCTCACTACCTCTTAAACTAACTTCGATAAACTTCGATAAGCTAACTTGCCCAAGGGATACCTATAATATTTATCGCTAAAGTTTCCGATTACTTTACACCTCTTTCCCAATCGACACATTTTGAAAGACGGAACCAGTGAAAAGCGGTGATTCTTGAGGCACAATGCTGATGTGCTAAGATCTGGTTTTTTATAAAAAATCCTTCTCTCTCTTAAGCTTTGAGCGCTAAGCGTTGAAATGTTTTTATCATCGATTCGAACTTTTCCCGATATCGGTGAATATAGAGCTGAAATAAGGCCAATTGCTGTACTTTTCCCGCATCCACTCGCGCCCACAAAAGCAACATTTTGACCGGCTTCTACACAAAGGGAAACTCCTAGATTTTTGTTCTTAAGTTGACTTTACTTTTAAACCTTTTATCACTTGTTCGTTTCTTATTGGATATTGAAAAGTGACATCAACAAATTCGATTTTCTCTTTTAACTCGTTAATTTGGGATCGTGAAGAGGCTTCTGAAGAGGTGAAGAGATCGTGAATATTCTGAAAATATTGTAAAGCACCAGTTTATTGTTTCACTAACAATTCCCAAACTAAAACTTATTGAATTACTAAAATAAAGTAGTAAGATAATTTTTGCGGAAGTTTTATGTAAGAATGATTAAAGTGAAATGGTCCAGTGAAGTGCATCAAGCATCAAGCATCAGCATCAAGTCTTTTTTTGAGTTTTTAACATGATCGCTGATTCTTAGGTTCAACTTCTTAAGAATATTGATAAAAATAAATGAAGATTTGTTTTTCGATAATATCTGGAGGTCGGGAATCGAATCAAAAGAGAGCGGCAAATCAATCAGCCAGCAAGTGAAATGTTTCTTTTGGCTCAAGTGGCTCAAGTTTGAGAGAGAAACTTGAGTGAAATCATTGTTTGATTGCTCTTTCTAGTAGTTATTTTCAGATTCATCATCGTTTTGTAGTTATTTTCAGATTTCGGCACCTTTCGAGATTGTTATTGGGGAGTTAGAGTAGTTGGGATACTGCACAAGATAGTCTAGGCCCCAGGTCACTTCTCAACTTCAACTAGAGACCATTTCTTTGTAAGTTCTGTAAGTAAGTTGTTTTTTTATGTTTCCTGTGAACAGTTTATGTGTAAGCAAAAATAAATAAACAAAAATATAACTTTGGGATGTAAATCGTACTCGAGAGTTTGTGGAATGTGTGAATAAAAAATCTAGACAACGTTGCGTTGTGAATGCAAGTTATTGTTGAGAAGTTATTGTGAAAATTGTTGTGCTGTTGTGGATGAGGTTTCACTTTATTTCCAATCATCACCAATTCAACAATCCCACCAATGACAAGGTTTAGCTTGTCCATTTGAGAGGAGACGATTGAAACGAAGAGGCCCATTCATCTTCACATCATCACTGCACAGTTTCACCTCATGACAACATTTGTTTCCATCGATCCCGTTCGTGATACAATCGCCCATTTGAGGGGTTTTCTGAAATTAGCAATGAAATTAGCAATGAAATTGGCAATGAAACTGGCAATGAAATTAACTTTAAATTTAAGTCCAGTCTCATGTAGTTGTTGAAAAGATTAGTTGAAGTCTAGCATTGAATAGCGTTTGAGTTTTAAAACGAAAGCGCTTTTTTTCAATCAGTGATAACTGCTTAAAATAAGTACTGAAACTAATTTTTGAATGATTGAAGTTATCGAGAAGTTTTCTAGCAAAATATTTCTCTAATTCTCACCGAGTTGAACACAGAGGCACAGTGTGCTTGATCCCAGACCGCGTTGTCACAATATCCGTGGATTTGTGTCTGAAGCCAGGTCGGCAAATCGGCCGGTTTCGTCTCTTCGCCACGCTGAAAAGAGAAAAGTTAAGCGATTTGTTAACGTTTAATTATTCTTTCTTTAAATTTAGAAATTTAAAACAAGTAACAAGTTTAAAAGAGTTAAAACAACTAGAACAGCATTTCACAAATTTACTCAAACTTGCTCACTAAAGACTAACATCAAAGCTGCTGACGAATTAACTGAAAACATTAAAAGTTGAAGGTGAAAGTTTCTAGAACTGAGCAGCAAGAGCAAGAACAGATTATTTCAAATGGCTAACATTAAGTTCTTGTCAGTTTAAAGTCAGTTCTTGTCAATGAAAAGACACTTTAAATAGCATAAATACAACTTTCAAATACGAACCTCAATCATTCTCACACAAACGTCACAGTACCACGGATACGCGGATTGGGCCTCGATTTGAATGGCGAGAACAGCCAACAACACGAAGATTTTCAACATTTTTGGAATGATTTGAATAAATCAAATTGTTTTTGAGTACATTGCAGCCGCAAATCTCTGCTCTTTTATATCCAACTTGCTATCAGCTTTGATCAAGGTGTACACATGGTTTCTCGTCTTTTCCCCTTCTTTGATTCATTATCACAATCTCCAAAAATCATTCCTTTCAAGTCTAGTTCTTCTGCTTTGATGACTTTTAAGATGAGATGAGTTGAATTTTTTATTGGAAAGCTTTTGTAGATGATTAAGCAGAGAGAATTCTGATGTAAACATCTTGCTTTATTTAAATTACTACAACCTACTACCTACAACCTACTACCTACAACCTACTACCTACAACCTACTACCTACAACCTACTACCTACAACCTACTACCTACAACCTACTACCTACAACCTACTACCTACAACCTACTACCTACAACCTACTACCTACAACCTACTACCTACAACCTTATTTTAAAGTACTGTAAACCATTTTGTCCATTTTGTCGCTAATTAATGAGAATTTGAATGAATTGAAGTGCAAAATTTTAGTAATTGCTTTGATGAACTAATTTCATTCTAAATTGATTAACGATTTGAAGTTTGAAGACAAGTTTTTGGGGGTGGGACAAATGCTACCTTTTTTTGCTGGAAAAGGCTTTAGGCAAGGCCGTAGAGCTTCGAAAATATTTCCATAGAAGGGAATCGTATGCGTAGATTCCGAATTTCGACAAATCAGACCTCGCTGACACGTCAAATTTGGGCTAAAAGGCAAAAACTGCGGAAAAGTGTTCAGTTGCGTAGTTTTTGCCTTTTAGCCCAAATTTGACGTGTCAGCGAGGTCTGATTTGTCAAAATTCTGAATCTACGCATACAATTCCCTCCTATGAAAACATTTTTGAAGCTCTACGACCTTCCTAAGGCCTTTTCCAGCAAAAAAAAGGTGCGCAAATGTCCAGGTGCTCAAAAAAAAGGTCGCATTTGTCCCACCCCCCAAGTTTTTCAAAAAATTTAGACAATATATGATGACAAATTTTCTTTTCAATACTTTGAAAAGATTTTCTATCGGGAAAAAGAAATATTTGTAAAGAATAAGTGTATAGTTTTTGACTCATTCATGGTACCCTATAAAAGGTGACAGTTGGAAGGAAATTTTACTTTTGTTTTACTTTTCATCAAATGAAACTATTTGCTGGGCTCTGTGCTAAAAGTACAGCTAATCAACAAACTCTAAAATTATTTTTTTTAGTTTTCTCAGGCTTTGTTTTTCTGTTGGGCTTGTCCCAAGCAAAAAGCCGTTTCGCTGACATTTGTGGACGACCTTTGGTTGAGCCGACTCTTTGGGTAAGGGATATTCATTATTTTATGACATTTAAGTTTTGACGCTCTATTCAAAATGCAACTCTTTTTTTGTTAGACTCATTACTTGTTTAGCCAAAATACATTGGAAACGCTGCTCCCCTTCGCCAAAAGCGTTTCATCAGCAACGGAAACGATGCCAGCGATGGATCTTTTCCATATTTTGCTCGCGTCATTCCAATTCCCGGAGACATGTAAGAAAATTGTGTACATCCCGGTTAATTCCCCTAATGAATCATTAATAAGATCACGTTCAGTTATGGCTGTGGGGCTGGGATCATTTCGGATCAATGGGTGATCACCGCAGATCATTGTGTCGATGAAAAGTTTGTAGTCAAAAATAAATTTAGGAGAGAATGTTTTCAGGCAGCAAACGCTTAGTTTGAAATTTTCATTTGAAAACATTAGAGTTTTTGGATTTCAGTCAGGTGTTAGGAATTGGGGGCGGGGGGCAATTCCTAGCAGTGTTTTGCGTCCGCGCGAAAATGTGTTTTTTGTAGGATTTTTACGTTTGAATAGCCAATGACGCAGAAAAATGTGCTGAATCCGAAAATAAAAGAATTTTTGAAATCCCTTCGATAAATTTTTAATTTGAAATTTATTGAAACAACAACATTAAAAACAAGCTTAATTAAAATGTCCCAGATCAGATAATAAAACGTTTAGAGCGAATTTTTGTGCGGCATATTTTGTAGTTTTTCTCCACGTTTTATTTTCTCGCAAATTTGCCCAAAAATTGAATGTATCGACTCCAAACCTTCTTCACCCATATTGGCTAAGCAATTGTTAGTTTTCAAAAAGTTGGGTAGATGATGCAATCCAACATCAGCTTTTACTGAACGTGTACCAATATCGAGTTCTTCCATTTTTCCCAGCAGACTTTTGCATGTATCGATTGTTGCGCCAATCTCTTTATCCGATAGTTTCGAATTTGTCACTGAAGAGATTTTGCAGAAACCATTGAAGGTTTCTAAGCATTCACATAGGCGTGTATATCTTTGGGAAATCGTAATAGCTTTTGTTGATTTTTGGTAACATTCTTGATTCGTTCTCTCTGGTATTTTCTTTGGATTTTCCTGGCAAGTTGGAGCTTTTTCAAGAGCGTGCCTCGTTTGTTTTTGTGGGCAATTCTCCGTGTAGCTTCAAGTTGTCGCATTTGTTTGATCACATCATCGTCTTTTCTCAATGGCTTTCTCAAATTGTCCGTGAAAATTTCGACTTTGTTGGCCTGCCTTCCCACTTTTTTGGCTTGGACATTATCTGGAAAAGAAATATTAGTCCATGTGACAAAAATAGCTAGAGAAAATGGTTTGATTGTAGCAATCAAACCATTTTCGGGGGAGGGGGGTACCCAAATCAGCGCAGCTCATTTCAGCGCCGAATCAACTTTAACTTTTTTATTTTTGCATTTTTTACTGGTTTTTCGTTGTTTTTAGAAATTTTACTTTTTTCAAACAACAATAAATTAGCCAATATGTTAACAAAACAAAAAATCACTTACAATGAACAAATAAGATGATCAACGAGCGATTTGCCTAAATGGCCATTTTGAAGGGCGATCTTTCAGCGACGATGACATCTCGGATCCTTGGTGGCTGTGGTGAAAGCTGATGAAGCGACAATCGTTTTTAATTGGCAAGAACGGCCATCTTCTCGTAATCTTCTTGAAATTCCAGCAACTTCGTTGCAACGAATCCGGGTGTAACATTCTAAAAAAGAATTAAACGATGGTCCGAGACGAAGAATTAAACGATTAAATTAAACGAAAGAATTAAACGCCACACCTACGAAATTTTGAAGTGCTGATTGGCGCCGGCCACATCTTATCGTCTTCGATTTTCACTTGTCTCCGTCCCACTTTTTGCAGCGCCTTGTTATCGACATATGGCAAGAGTTGAGGTGATGAAGACAGGATCTTTGTTCGAACAATTTGCTTCATTGGCATTCCAACGCGGCGATTTTGTTTTACTTCATCTTTGTGCTTCTTTATCTAAAAGACAATTTTAATTTTAAATCTATTATGTCTAGCGGACGAACCTCCTCGCCGCACTCAGGTGGTAATCCGCAATGTTGGCTGTGGGCACTGACTTTCTTGACGATTTCTTGTTTCGTGTGGTCGTAATAGACACGCCCTCGGCAGCATTCCTTTGTGCATCTAGAATTATTAATAAAAAAAGCTAAATTTAATAAGGCAAGTAACAAAAAAATTCAAAAATCTCACCCGTAAGAGATGGTGCCTCCTTTTACTTCTTTGTCCTTGCGATACTCATAACGTTCATCATCGAAAATCAGCTGTTTCTAGACCTGCTCTATGTGTAAAAAATAAAACAAGAGCAAAAGCATAAAAAATCGAAATTATGACAGTAGTGCGAAAAATTCGGCGCTGAAATGGGCGTTTTCAATGCTTTTTTTGGCTCTGCGCTGAAATGGGGTCGGCGCTGAGGTGGGGGTGCTGATTTGGGTACCCCCTAGGAATTATTACTGTCAACTGCAGTCTGTGATAAATGCACTGTGGCTGAAGGTTAACTCTTTCAGTAGCACTCGCTTTGTCTACACGGGAATCCATGAATGGAACAAACATACAGAAGTCGGTTATGGAAATTTGCTGATGTTTTGAAACTGATAGATTTTTAGCAAATGCTAGTCTCGGAAAAGCTTGTTTTTCATCCAAATGTGTCTCGAAGTTCTTGGAAAGCCGAATGGGATGTTGCTTTGGTCAAGGTTTTTATTTTGTATTTATAAAAATCCGTCTCTTATTCAAATTACTTAATAGAATTTATGAATTTTAGCTCAATGGAACGATTGTATTCAACGACTACGTAAAACCAATCTGTTTGAGTCGTGATACAAGCTTTTTAACTAAAGATTACCCAGTCATGCTTCCCGGACTTGGCTACGGTAAAACAAGAGCTGCTTTAAAAAACTACGAGTTTTATTATCACCATTAGTACGAACCTTTAAAAAGCGAACTTTAAAATGTTGTTGTGTTGTTATTTTTTGGGTCTTAATAGTTTGGGCTAATTTTAGGCAACAATTGTGCTACCAAAGTATTTATGAAAGCAACGTTAAACTGCTATTCGCTTTTTTTGACCTAAACTTGTTGAGTCCGCTCTTTACTTTATGATCCGTACTAATGGGGAAAGAGCCAAATAAAGTTTAGATGCCGACAAAAAGATTCCATCCGTCACTCAAGAAGCACTCTTGTATTTCGCTGAACTTATCGACCATAAAGTTGAAGCGGCCAATATTGAACAGGGGAATGCACGGGAGGTAAGGATTTGAAGTATTCGATATAAATAAATAGGAATTCAGAGTTGAGTGAAAGTGTCCAATTTTCGGAAACTATCCAATAGTTTCGAGAAATTGTTAAGATCCGATTCATTTGATAATAAAGTTAGAAACAGAAAGATGTTGCTTTCTGTTCTCTTTGGTTAGTTTGGAAAATGAAGTGAGAAAGCTAACCTGAAAATAGAAGTACAGTACTGGACAATGAAATATCATATTTGAAAAACGATCGTCACTTTCGCGCCTCTGTAACTCCCTTGTCTTTGAGTTTAAACTATTAGTGCTATATGATTTTCTGAAAGCTCTTTTCAAGGGCTATACAATGGTAATATTAATATTTAGAAATACGGTAAAGACAAGGGAGTTACAGACGTGCGAAAGTGACGATCGTTTTTCAAATATGATATTTCATTGTCCAGTAGTGTAGATTTGAAGCAGAAAAGTATTAAATGAACGAACTCTTATTAAAACGAAATTTGATTGAAATCAGGGTGATTCGGGCAGTCCAATGTACTCGAAACACAATGGACTCTGGTATCAGGTGGCTGTTTTTGCAGGAGGTGGCCAAGCAAGCGGTAATTTGTTATTTTTGCAAAAATTTTCTAAATTTTTAAAACTAAATATCTTCTAGCGGCTGGGACCTCGATTTCTGCTGTTTGTGATTGGATCAATGATGTGACTGGAGAGGAGTTATGTACTTGAATGTGCAAAGGAAACAGCTGAGAAGAAATTCTCAAAAAAAAGCATAAAATCTTCTATTCAAATCACAAAAAAAGAAAAAGCATGCAAAATCTGGAGTTAATATTTCTTCACAACATCCCAATGACAACATCCAAACATCCCAATGACATCGCTCACAAACATTGACATCTTGAAGAAAACATTCAAACATCCAGTAGCTACAGTATTCATAATCATTCGTCCACCACTGTCCAAATTTGTCGCAGAAGGGAAACGGATTGAAGTTCTTGCCGAACTCTCTTATTCTAGGAATTCTGTTGACAAAATTCAGATCCAGTTCACAAGCCAGGATCAGTTTTACTTGAGGAACACCCTGGGGAGATCGATGAGAGTTCAGATAGATCCATGTTCAGATAGATCGATGAGAGTTCAGATAGAATAAGTGATAGTCATTGAAATGAGAGAGTGCAAATTTGAGTCGATTGTAGAAACAGCCTGGTTCTCCGAAATTTCGGTACGGGGAATACTCGAGAGCAGAAATCAAAGAGTTGGCTGACAAAGAGTTGAGTTGTCGAGAAGACGTGACACTTTTGGCTGACAAGACCAGAATCATAGAGCCGATGAGTGACCGGGGAACATCGAAGGATTATGAGTTAATAAGTTAATTAACGGTTTTATTTTGGGGTATTTAAGGAGTTTTTTCTTTCTTTTAATACCTTTGTCACCTTTTTTTAGTTTTTTTTGCGTTAAATTATGAAAAAAATAGTGTCACAATTTTTTATCAAAAACTAGCTAAAACCTAGCTACAATATAGTTTTAAAGTGTTTTCAGACAAAAAAAACGAAATCTCTCATGGTTTCAATTCTTTAAATCTACTTTCTCATCATTGTTGCCTTGACGAAAAAGAACGATTTTGGGGAAAAAAATTTCTTTATTTTTGGACTAAACAAGTAATTTCTTGTGCTGATGAATCATGGTCTTTTCTCGTTTTTTTTTTGATAAGATAAGCCCTTTTTCCTACTCCTACAGAAATTCTGAATTCTTTTTCAAAAAAAAACATGATCAACGAGCGATTTGCCTAAATGGCCATTTTGAAGGGCGATCTTTCAGCGACGATGACATCTCGGATCCTTGGTGGCTGTGGTGAAAGCTGATGAAGCGACAATCGTTTTTAATTGGCAAGAACGGCCATCTTCTCGTAATCTTCTTGAAAATCTTCTTGAAAATCTGATGAATCATGGTCTTTTCCCGTTTTTTTTGATAAGATAAGCCCTTTTTCCTACTCCTACAGAAATTCTGAATTCTTTTTCAAAAAAAACCCCCAAACGACACTCAAATGCTTTTCAAATACGCCTTTCTGCCCGTTGAACTGAAAAATGTTATTTTGTCGGTGGTGGAAATCGAATCGATGATGAAATTGACACAAACACATTGAAATTGATCTTGATCTTGAAGCTCTAGTGGATCCTTGACGTTATCTGTGCTACCCACATTTTGCATATATTATATCGTGTTTCTTTTTATCGGCCCTTTTCGTGTTATGTGTATCAATTCATGTGTTTTAATCTTAAATCTAGCGCACTTTATCTCAGGTCCTGAATAAAGTATCTATATAAACGGATAAACATTCTCGTGAGTTTATCCTCAAAAATGGACCGTTTCAACGAAAGATCGAGCAAGTCGAAATGTTTTTCGACGAGGATTGGCGGGGGGATGAAGAGGATCGTTTCTATGTAAATGTTAAGATAAAAAATGAATCTCAAACAAAGCTCTCAATTGGTGATACGATTGAAATAAACAATTATGAGAGCTACATCGAGCAGCCGATACGAAGAACCGCTTTTTGGGGTCTTTTCAATCGAATTCTTTCGATTAAGAGCTTTTCGCTGAGATTTGAGTTAGGCGAAAGTTGTTATGAGGACGAGTTTGATGCGGGAATCGTTGGTGAAGTGATAAAAGAATTTTTTAAAAGCCAATCCATTCTACCCTTGTTGTTTGTTGTTTCAAAATTTTCTTTTGAGACGACAGAATTTCAAATTGCAAAAATCGCAATGGAAACATTTAAACCAAAAGTCATCGACATTTGCGATTTAATCATTGCAAAAAGTGACACAGAAATTGAGCGAGAAACGATTGAGAGCTATTTGAAGAGCTATTTCTGTGAAACTCATCTAGCAGAATGCCAACAACTTTATGTCAGTGATGTCAATTTTTTGAGCTACGATCAACTAGCTACGAAGAAAAAGATGTTTTTTCATTTAAACTGTCACGAAGTTTTTCGTACTATTGAAGAGGTGTTAGAAAGTGGAATTCCAGGATCATTTCAAGCTTTCGGTGTTCGTGGAAGGACACTTCGACGAAATACCGTAATTACTGTAATTGGACCCCACCCCCCTCGTACAGTCGCGTAGTCGCAAAAGTTTTTTAGTATTTCATTTTTTTCAAAGCGCTCGTACTTTCAAAAAATGCGTCTTTGGTATCAAAAAATAGCTGAAATTCAGGGCTATTTTTTGATAATTGTATTGCTATTGTAGCATAAACCAGTGTCGAGAAAAACTCGTCCAAAGCTAGGCTACGCAACGCTCCGTACCGTCATGATGGGGGTGGGGTACTATTACAGTATTTACGGTAGATCAACTGGTGAAACAATATTGACAGAGTTAGAAGAAATGTTCAATAAAACAAGTGAAATCGAAAGTCTTGATGTTGTTGATGAAAAAAAGCGTTTAATGATTGAATTTGTTGAGAAAACAGGATGTAAACAAGACGAAATTCTGTCGGATTTCAATGCTTTTTCTACCGGATTTCTCTCTTTAAATGCAACTCAAAAAAATGGTTATTCACAATGGTTTTTCGGAAAGAAAATTCAATGGAAATGATCATATAATTTCTGTTTTATTTGTGGATCGACTGGAAACAAAGCCGGCTTTTGTCGAATTACAGCTGATGATTGGGGAATTTTGATGAAAATTGCTCTTGCTCTGGGTGAGAAATTTTTTTTTTTTTTTTTTAGGGTTTTTTTTTTTTTTTTTTAAAATTTTTTAAAAAATATTTTATTTTTTTTTTTTTTTTAATTTTTTTTTTTTTTTTTTTTTTTTTTTTAAATTTTTTATTTTAAAAATTGGGGGGGTTAAAAAAAAAAAAAGGTTTTTTTTAAAAAAAATTTTTTTTTTTTTTTTTTTTTTTTTTTTTTTTTTTTTTTTTTTTTTTTAAATTTTTATTTTTAAGAAATTTTTTTGGGAAAGGGGGGGTTTTTTTTTTTTTTTAATTTGAGAAGGAGGAGGGTATATAAAAACTCCTTGCTATTGAGTATTTAGAAAACTTTTTATTATTTATCTCTTATTCTTTTAGATTCATTTATTAGCATTTTGAGAACTTCTTTAATAGAAATCTATTTACACTTATGCAGCATTTAGTTAACTTTATCGAATATTTAGATTAGAATACCAACTATCGTAATTAAACGCTCAGTTTTTGATTTCAAATTATTTTTCGAATCAATTAATAGGGACAAGGCCCAGTAAATGACAGGAAAATTAAGCTAATCAAAAGAAAATGAATTTTTTTTGATTATAATAGTTAAATGACCTTTTAGTTAAATTACGTTTTAGACCTTTTAGAGCTTTTAGTTAAACCTTTTAGGATGGACATTCATTTGCTTTTTCTCTTCTTTCTCTTCTTTCTTTTCTTTCTCTCTTCTTTCTTTTCTTTCTTTTCTTTCTTTTCTTTCTTTGAACAATTTTTCTCTCTTACAATCTTTTTCGTGGTAAATAAAGTTTTTCAAAGTTTCAATTTCGATTGTTTTAGACTTTTAAAATATTTAACTCGGAAAATTTATGAAAGATTGTATAAAATGGGTATTAATATGGGTATTAAATCTATAAATTATTTTTCAACTCATCGTTTATAAAAGTTTTCTGAGAAAAATCAATCATTCTCCATCTTTCATTTCGACTTTCTTAAGAATAAATCAACTACATCTCAACTAATGCTTGCCTAGAGTAAATTTATTAGCATGATTGACAATTAGCAATTTATTACCACGATTGACCCCAAAAATTCCCCAATTAGAAGCCATATTTCTCAGATTATACTAAAGCTTTTGATTCTGTATCTTATAAGCTCAAAATTTATCGTATTTCTGATCATCTTTTAGCCTGTAATGCAGAATTTCTAGATGACAGAAATTTTAAGGTTAAATTTGAATGACAAGCTTCCCATAAATCTTCCCATAAATCAGCTACACCTCAACTAATACTTGCCTAGAGTAAATTTATTAGCACGATTGACCCCAAAAATTCCCCAATTAGAAGCAACATTTCTCGATTATACTAAAGCTTTTGATTCTGTATCCTATAAGCTCAAAATTTCTCGTATTTCCGATCTTTTAGATCTTTTACTTTTAGCCTGTATTACAGAAGTTGTATATGAAAGAAATTTTAAGGTTAAATTTTAAGGACAAACTCTTCTCGACACACTCTTGTCCCACAGGGCAGCATTTTAGATCCCCATTCTATTTACAATTGTAATACAGGCTCTTCTGTAATACAGGCTAAAAGTAAAAGATTTATATAGGATTGGTGGGTATGAAAGATCGCTGAAAATAAACAACTGATTTATTCAATATTTCACATGCAACCATTCTAAATATTCTTTATATTCTTTATTATTTTGGATGATTTGAGCCCATCCTACTGGCAAAGACCGGAAGCCTCTCTCTGGTAGAAAATTTTTCGTTTTCATCCGAACCAATAGAGTTTTACGAGCCATTTTTTGACACCATCTTCCGAATCAAAGCGTTTCTTGGGCAAATTATAGCTCATCGCTCGGAATAAGTAGTAATCAGAACGTGCAAGATCAGAGCTGTATCCCGGATGGACCATCACCTCCCATCCAAGTGAATTTAGTTGAGAAGGTTAAAGGATGATTTTTCTCTGGCAAAGATTTGGCTGACTTGTTAAGTTGCTCGGAGTATTTGATTTAGTTAAGTGGTGTCTTGCTATCTAAAAGTTCCCAGT